GAGTTTTGATTCTTGTTGATCCTGACATTTGTCAAATATGGTGCAACAGTTATTTCAAACAAAATCTGAATACTTGAACTCGAAATGATAATAACGTTCTGACACGGAGACTAACTTTATCTTCAACTTTCTTATCAGAGAACCAACTGTCAGATTAAAAACTCACTTGCAAAATCAATACTCTTATACTATTCTCTCCTCTTCATCATTGTAATGTGCGATATAACTTATACAAAGAGATGATAGAGCTGCATCATGGCCTATTATATTACGTGTTTTCTGAACTGCAGAAGATTTCTTGTACAGAACAAAACGAGCAATGTCTCTACAGCATACTTATTTGCTGTGAATAAACTGCATCGGTCTATGAGTGATGTCCTAGCGATCACAATCGTTTTGCGCTCTCAAAGCAGACAGTTGTAAACTGTATTCGAGAATTCGACTTTTATAGACAAACTTACCGAAAGATCTCAACTTTTCGATGAATAATTCAATATTTAAACAACTAGAATATCCGACTGAGCATTTACAACCTCGAATACTAAAAATATTTTCTTAGCAAAAAGAACTCATGTTTTAGTTTGTTAAAAAATAGGTCCTATCAAAGCCATGCCATATCTTAACAAAATCACGTTATTAGCTCATTGTAAACTATCAGAACAATAATCACAAAATTTTTACATCAAAGATATAAATCAAACTGACCGATCACAGCAAATATTCATTATACTCAGATTAAAAACTCCTTATGAGAAGTTAAAATGACATATAAAAACAGCAATTAAATGATTCTTAATGGCTAGATAGGATAATCATTTGATTTGTATCTGATGAACGGATCATAAAGAATATCTCGTTTTGCGTTTTGAAAGAAGTATGCACAGATTTTCAGAATGATGAGAATTTCTCAAATGTCATAAGAAACCATTAAGCAACATGATACAAAAATTTACAGCAAAATGTCGACAGTTTCGTGAACTGAGTCACATCTCTTATCAAAGGGAAAGTAAATTTACTAGATACTAAGAAAACTACTCCAATAATCGTGACAAACTTCGAAATGAATTTCGAAATTACTACGAAAGTAGGAAGTTACTGATATTTTCTATAATAACCAGTGTCGAAGAAAAACACCAATAATACCGAGAAGTTTCAAAAAATTACGCGCGCACTAAAATAAGTTTCACCACCAAAATCAACCTACATTGAGTAACTACTACGAAATTACCAACCAATTTCATCGACAACAGATATTAAGAGTGTTTACTGTATCAGAATTCGATCATACAAAAGGAAAATATTCTGAGTTTTTTTTCCATTTGAATAAATTTAGATAAACCATGGCTCGATAAACAATTTCATGATATAGAACAAACATCGATCAAAAAGCCTGATGAACTTGTCTCCGAGCTTCAACATCCTGAGAGTGAAATCGATGAACAATTGCTCGATCGTATTCTTGGTTCCATAATCGGATTACTCTTAGGTGATGCACTTGGTGCACATGTTGAATTCAGACCACATGATTTCTTAAGAGCCAATCCTGTGACTGAACTGCAAGGGGGCGGCACATGGGGTCTCGAAAAAGGCCAAGTAAGGAATATTTAATTATATATAAAGAAAACCTTTTTTTTATAATACAAAATTATTCATTATGCTTGTGAATCAATGATTAATTTATTTTTCTACTTTAGTTTACTGACGACACGTCCATGGCTCTATGTCTCATTAATTCGCTCATTGCACGTCATGGATTTGTACCGTATGATCAATTAGTTCGTTACAAATGGTGGTATAGACATGGTTATATGTCGTCAACGGGACGTTGTTTTGATATTGGCTCAGCTACTACTCAATCAATTCGAGAATTTGAAAGACGTCAAATGATATTTGCTAATGAAAAAAATATTCCTCTTGAATACTTAGATTACTTATCCGATCATCAACTTCTCAATGAATTTAATGTTTATTGTAGTCAAGAGGGCGTAGCTGGAAATGGTGCTCTCATGCGTTTAGCTCCTGTACCACTGTTCTTTCATCGAAATCCTAAAATTGCTGTTAAATATTCGGGTATTAGTGGTCAAATAACACACGGTGACCAAAAGGCCTATGATTCATGTCGCTATTTTGGTGCTCTTATTGTCGCTGTTCTTCAAGGTGAAACGAAGAACAGTCTGCTCAGTAATAGATTCTATGATGATCACAAAGATTGGTTCAATGATGAATCTCTTCATCCCGATGTCCAGCAAGTAGTTGAAGGATCATTCAAACGAGATGGAGGTTATGACGATGGTATACGAGGTAAAGGTTATATAATCAGTGCTCTCGAAGCTGCTCTATGGGCCTTCTGGAGTGACGAAGATTCATTTGAGAAAGGTGCTCTTGCTGCTGTTAATCTTGGTGATGATACAGACACAACAGCAGCCATTTATGGTGCATTAGCTGGAACTTATTATGGCTACGAGAATTTACCTCAGAAATGGCTCGATAGTATCTATGCAAAAAATTTCATCATATGTTTATGCAAATGGATGACGTATGAAGCAACAAGACTTTTTCATGATTCAATTTCAGTGGAGCCTCCTTTGTCGCGTCAAAGTTCAATCGATCATCGCGATTCGGAAGTCTATCCAATAGTTGAAAACGCGATTACTGAAGAAAATTCGATAACAACACATAGTTTTCCACCCATTATCATTTCAGCGCCAACTAAAATGCCTTCTATACAGCGCACAGCAATCGATCCAGCAGGTAAACTTGGTTCACTCTATGATGCATATCGAGATCGTCTTATTGTTCAATCTGATACTATTGTTAAAAATCAACATGTGTCTGTACTAGCTAAAACAACGAAATGTTTTGTGAGAAAAGGAAATCCTGGCGAGAATTTGAACCTTCTTCAAATGATTGACATTACAAATGAGTTGCGTTTAAGTGTAGAATTCAATATGACACCTGCTATCGGCATAGCTAAGACAAACAATTACAATTTACCAATTAATATTCACACGCGTTTTCTCTACTATAATTATTTGGATCGAGAAGAATCATTGCACGGTAATGCTAATGATATTAGTCGATCGATTCCATCATCGATACCTAAAACACAGGCTACTCACGTTGTAACAGGTATCACTTTAGGAATTGAAGTTCTTGTCATTCTACAATTATCACCTGATGATGCGTCCAAAGTCGATAATGTACTCAATCAAATCCGTCAGTATTTAACAAATAATGACACTACTTTCGGCATGACATTAGATGAAAAACGTTTACTTAATCGAATTAATCGCACCACTATATATTCAAATATTTATGAACTAACTAAAATAACGAATGTACTGGATCTTTGTTATAAAATTATTGATGTTCGAGCCAATCGTATTCGTCATTCACCGTTGACATATACGCTTTGTCCCATACGATTTCTTTATCCTGAATATTCAGAAAATGATGTAATCTACGTTGCATTAGAACCACAAATTATCGAGAAAATTGAGTTGTATTTATTTTCGATGTCTTCTCAGTTCAAGATATTAAGAAAATTATTAGAACGTAAATCTTTGCATTCATCGGATGAATATCTTCGTCAACAATTTCTTGACGCACAAAATCAATTTTCAAACTTGGAAAAAATCTACTCAAAACAAATGAAAACATTTCATGCTTGGATTATTGATGCTCGCAAAGGAAAAGTTTCTTCAAATGCAAGCATTCGAGAATTGACTGATACTGATGAAAATGAATTGAAAGAAGCTATTAATAACATTATCGTTCGTCTCAAGGGCTTAAAAGAGAAAGAACGTTCATTTCATCATTCGCAAGATACACGAAGCGAACACCATGTATACAATGATCGTCATGATGCAAATATCGAATATCAGTCAACAAAAGATGAACGAAATGGAAATTTCAAGTATTCAATGGATACATCAGAAAAAAAGTTTGATCGGAATTCTTCATCATTTATCGAACGTGAGACATATTACGAATCTGTTGTTCCGTATACTGATCGTCCACTGAGATCAAACAGTACTAATGAACTATTAGTAAATGATGAAATTAGTACTGTACATGTATCACATTCGAAGAACTCATGGCCACCACGGACATATCCTAAGTTTGCCTCATTGATTCCAACTGAAGAAACAATTAACATACTTCTTCTTGGTGAAATTGGTGTCGGAAAATCGACTTTTATCAACGCTTTTGCTAACTATTATTCATTTGATACACTCGATAGTGCTCGATTTGATAAGCCGACCGTTGTAATTCCAAGCTCATTTCTAATAACGACACGTGATTGGTCTGTAACCCCAATACGTGTCCAACTCGGTGCTTCGGATTCCAATCAAATACATAATAATTATAATCATTCAACAACTCAAGAATGTAAATCTTATTTATTTCATATGCATGATGGAACCAAAATTCGATTTATTGACACCCCCGGACTTGGAACTGTGTATGATCGGGATCAAGATCATCTCCAAATGCAAAACATATTATCATTTATTAATAACTTGCCACATATAAATGCCGTATGCTTTTTTCTTAAACCAAATTTTTCACGATTTTCTGTTTATGAATCTTGTTTTCAACGACTATTTAATTTTTTTGGCGAAGATATTAGCAAAAATATTATTTTCTGTTTTACAAATTCGTTTTCGATGCGATTCGATTCTACGAAGGGAATTCGTATATTTGAATCACGGTTAAAATCAATATTAAATCATGGAATTCGGATGAGAAAAGAAAACACGTTTAATTTTGATGGTGAGTCTTTTCGTTATTTAGCCGCTTTACATCATTTGATTGAATTCGATGACGCATCAATATATAATGTAAAATCTAGCTGGTCAAAATCGAATATTGAAGCAATACGTTTTCTTCGATATATTAAAACGCAACTTATCCCATTTCAAATCCATCGAAAATGTCAATCGATTGAACATGCTCTATTCGAAATTCAATGTATGATCCGTCCCATGTTAGAAACAATGCGAAATATGTTGCGAAATTACCTCTTGTGCACCAGAGATTTGCCTAATGCATCAATCGAATTATGTTCAAAAGCTATTTCATCTAATACAGCACTCTGTTCATCATGTCCATCTCACTCTGATCGATTTGGAAATTTTTGGATAGGTCTCAATAAGCAACATAAATTAGGCAGAAATCGATGTTATTCTTGTATTTGTAGCTTGAAAAGCCATATTCCAATCGATTATCAACTAGATTACAAATTTTCATTGGATCAACACAAATATATTTACAATGAAATGGCTGATATTCTTGAACTAATCAAATTTAGCGCATATTTTGGTAATTTTCTCCTAGTTTATTCCAATGATTTACAAAGTGATCCATTCTTGTCAGGTATCGATCGAATGATTAAAGAAGAACATTTTATTTATTCTCATTACTATCCGAATATTCTCAATTTAAAATTATATGACTCACTCAAAGACCTCAAGCGTCATTATCAACAAGATATGGAAGAAATATCCAAAAAGCAAAGGGACTACATCAATTTATCTGGTATCGACGAACGAATCAAATATATCAGCGCTCTACCAGTGATAAACGAACAACTAAATGCTATAAAACAAAGTCGTGAATTATTCATTATTGAACATGAATATCGAGTAATGCTAAAAAAGCGAGCGTAGATCATAATATGAAACCATATATAAACAGTTTTTGTATTGTGTGATTTTCGATAGAGTTTTTGATGAAATGAAAACAGAGATACATTTCAAGCAAGTAGATATAGTTTAGTTTTATTAATTATCAAAGTAGAATAAAGGCAAAAACATAATAAAGAAAACAATTTGAAAAATCAAGAAACCAGAAAATGTTGTGAGTACGACTGAATCCAACACTAACACAGCCATACCCCCATCTACATCGTAAGTAAGTTTTGTTATATGTACAGTAATGACTATTTGAAATTCATCAGGAGAAAAAAAAAATGCTTTTATGCATGATACTAGTGGTGATTATGACAAGGTTAGGAATGTAAACTTTTAGTTTATCAAATATTCTATTATGTTTTAGAACTTAAACGACTATTCTTTTATATAAGCTAAATGAAGATGCTTCGAATGCCAATTATTGAGAAGTCGATAATTCTTGAAATACAACTATCGTTTCAAGAATTGAGTAAAAAGAGTTTTCTCAAAACTCTATTTTCAGTTTAGTTGAGCCAAAACCTTTTGTGGAGGGATGGGGTATGGATGAAATAAGGACCACATCCACACTCTTCAATTGCGATATTTTTGTGCTCTTGTGATTTGTTTATCGATATTTTACTTGATCGTAGCCGTATCAAGAGGTATCATGCCCCGATTTTGCTGACATATAAATCAACCAGCATGCATGATACACAATATCGTATTCACTGAAGAGATTAGTTTTGAGAATGCCATGAATATATGTCAGATATAAAAACATGCGTACGTACAAACACATAAAATGGTCACTCAGTTTTTACTCCTATGAAAAGTATTACGTTTTTATGATCCATTAAGAGAAATGGCTGATATTAACAATATATATCTATGAATGATATCTCTATATGTCATATACCAGATGTTGCAAAAGTTTGGTTGAAGCTAAATCTTTTTTCGAAAAACTATGGTTGTAAGAAGCGATTCGAAACCGCTCCACTGGATAAAAATGGAATTAAAAGCCCAGTACTATTTTGAAATTGGTTAGTCTCACTTTTAGTCTCCAACAGGTTTTTCCTGAATTCATCGATAATTTTCACGATTCTTACTTTTAAGGACTGTAAAAACTTTGAGGACAAAAGTGCTACTTGTTATGTAGAAACTGTCAAAGAAATCTATATCGAAGATACTAAAAGCAAAGAACTTAAATGTAATTGATGAATTCAGTATAAGAATCTGTTGGAGAGTAAAAATGAAATCAGTCCATTTAATAATAGTACTGAATTTCTAACTCCATTTTTATTTAGTTGAACAAAGCAACATTGATAGGTCTACATCTAGTCACGTAGATGGTATCTTGATAAATCATTTCTTGAATGGTTAAAGGGAAAAACTACAAGTGTTATACTATAAATGTGAATTAACTTGTGGGTAAATGTTGATAACTTTTGATAATGGCACATTTTTATTTTCGTTTAATTCAATGATAAAAAATAAGTATTTATCACAATGAATTCATTGAAAACCATATATTTTGCGCGCGTTTTTAGAATAATAAGAGTTGTGTGAGTTTCTTCGGTTATTTGAGTTCTGCGGGTGTTACGAAATCAGATAGTTCCTAGTGTCCTTAATTCCTAAAACTATCGTATAGTTTTCAGTATTACAATGTTTGCTTTCTAATAGATTTTTGAGTTCTATCAATTCGAAGACTTTCGAACTTGAAAAAAGTTTTTTAAATATCCTACTTTGTTCTTTAGAACTAGAGAATCAAGAGTGTTTTAGTACTGCAAAAATATTCGCATGCAGACTATTCATCATTTTAGAAAGACTGCTGTCAAACAGTAATATCTTAATCTGCATTGCGTTCTTAATGATACAGCTCATCTAATAGAATTAGGTCAGGATTTCAGGGATAACAAATTTTAAATTCTCAAATTGAATGAATTTCATGGTTTAGTATTCGATACTGCTTCCTTCAGTACAATAATGTCAGTGATTTTCGCAACATGTTTTTAACATGTATTATGATAGTAGTAGATTTTTAATCATAATGAACATTTATTTTTAAGAAACCCACCATGGAAGTTAGGGATTCTATGAATTTGAGGCTTAAAGTTGTGATCCCTTTCAATCTTTCTAAATTTAATCTCATTCAACCTAAGTGGCTTTGAAATAAAGCTCATCAATAAAAATGTTGTATAAACAAGAGGGAATTTTAATAAGATTCTAGATGAGCATATGTATAACTGTTTACAAAAAAAAACTTTCACTAAAGTAGTGGTTGTTTTTCTAGTGTTTTTATCCTATGTGGAACCATGATTGACTTCATTTTTTTTATAATTCCTGGAGTGAATAAAAATTAAAGCTATCTCCTAATTTTATATTTTCTTATGGCATTATTGAAGTAAAGCCATCATACCACGTAGCATTGTACGAAGTGTGGTACAAGAACTTCTATGCGGAAGACTCTCTAGTCATAATATCAACGAAATTAAAATAAACAAATTTAGTTAAGTATTGAAGAAGAAATGATCAACAATAGACTCAATGTTAAAGAAAAAAGAGTTATTCATCAATATATTCGTAATAATAAAAAAATAATACTAAAAGAAATAAATGACAACATATCGATCATCCGAAGAAATGTTATCTTGTTTAACTATGTATTCATTTTTTAATGAAGTTTTGCCAAGCCTGGCATTTGCAACACGATCATAACCTTAAATATCGGTATGATCAGCTAAAAGCTTGTATCTAAATCGAGCAGAAAATGTTTGACTAGTCGGAAAACATAAAATTGAAAGTAGAAAATCTAAAAAAGACATTATATTTTTATGCTCTATCATATCGGAGATGAAATAATTCAAATAACTGTATGTGAAATGAAATATCCACAAAGCTAGAGCTGTATGTAACCACGACTATGATAAATACAATCATTTATCACGAAAGAAGATTAAGTAGTTTGTGAAATAAAACAGGATATCAATTCTACTGCTATCATTTCGTTTTCTTTTGTCATTGAAACTAACAGAACACAAAATGAATTCCTGAAATATGCTCATTACTACTGACATGATACCAATAGAAATTTATAGAGTGAAATCCAACAAATTCTTTGTTATAATTTCGTCGATGAAAGACAAAAGGACATTGAGTACGAAGTATTCCTAAATTTAACTGTAATAAGAAGCATGCCAATAGCAATAACAGACAAGACATTTAGGCTTCAGATTGATCATTGACTAAGTAGAACTATGTATAGATCATATCTTCTAATTAAGAATATAGATTTTTTGCTGCTAAACTTCATCGAATTGAGTTTATTTTTACCTCTCATTTAATTACATGCACTTAGTTTCTATGTTACAGAGTGCGATTTGATCGTCACAAGAACGACATAGCATCCATTATATTTGCTGTTAGTAGTCGTAAATAAAACATAACAAGCGAGGGTTTGTCAAAGACAGAGGCTGAGGGTGGATGTGGAGTGTGAGTATAGGAGAACATTGGATCCACAATCCACACTCATATCCATCCTCTTTTCTTAAACTGGACATATTCTATGTAAGAAATGAGATTGAGAGAAGAAATTGAACAAATAAATTCTTGACGTCTAACGAGGACATAATCCAAAGTACAAATGAATGTGACTCGCTATAGATTGTGACTTTGATTTGATCCAGATGCGAGCTTCTGTACACTGCTTATAATAAAAATACAAATATGAGCAACGAAATTTGTCCTTGAAATAGTTCGAAGTCGTCATTACATAGTGAGTCGATGATTGACATTAACAATGCTCATGTTTTATATGAAGGCACGAGCCTATTAAATGCTTATATCACAGAAGGAATCCGATATTGCTTTTACGACGTTTTTTTTTCTTCTATAGAGATTACTTTTTTGGAGCAAAATTAAATGCTTAAGAAAGCAGTGAAGTAATATCGAATTTCTATTTAACGAAAGATCATGGCGTGCGATTCTTCACTTTCGACAAATGAGAAAAATACTATCTATTGATTAGATATAAAGATGGGTGCCGTCGCTATTCCGTCTCTTTTCAACACAAACGATGGTTTCAACAGTAATTCATTATTTCGTATTCGTTCCATTCAGGTAATTCTAAAACCTATTTTTTCCTATTCATTTAATGCTGAACAATCTTCGATTTAAGCCTTACAGGTTTGATTCTTGTTTTGTTTTACATGTCCTACTATTAATCCAGTATGTCGCTAGTTCGAGTGCAATCTCAATTCTGCAGTGAGATTTCTCAATATGATCGATGTTCGCCAAATAGTGCGTGCGCTTGTTTCCTTATAGCAGGTGCTATTGACATTGGCATTTGTAGCGATGAATTCGTGGATTGTTCCGAGCTAGTTCCATGCGAACGCTCCAACAATGTTTGTCGTGAACCTAACCATAAATGTGTTCATCATCCTCGATGTCATAATCTTCCTGTTTGTTATCCAGTGTCCAGTTTCAATCGACACCTGTGTCCACCAATAACAAGTAAGAAAACAAACACAGATCTATGGATTCAAGTGAAACTCGAATCTTTCTTAAAGCTATTTCTTCATCGTTTACACACCCTCACAAATGCAATTCATGTTGATGTGGGAACTGTAGGGAAGAGCGAGAGAGCCTTTGAAAAAGTATATAAAGCATGACAGAGACAAAACGAAATGTAATCATTGAAGAATATATTTCATTTCTTCTCATGGGCCATATCCATTAATTTGAAAAGAAGTCCTCTGTAATTATATCTAGCAATGCATGAAGATGCAGTCAACTTTTGAATATAAAATCAGAGACCGAAAAAAATTGAACAATTGATCATTCGAGTCGATTCGATTCTGTAGAATATGTCATGTGTTTTGATCTCCATAAGAGTGCATCAAATTTTATTTTGTCGCGTTTCTCGTTATTCACAGTTTTCGTAGCATATTCGACTGATTCTTGTGAATAATGAGTTTACGCAACAGTCTTTCTTCAACATAATTGTAATCGACAACTAGCACAAAAGAAAACGCACTTATAACTGTATCTGTCATCTTTCTAATGGCTAAACTTGTGAAAGTGAAGACTGATTATTCAGCTGCGACAAAGTAAGTGCTAGAGCTCAAATGAGCTTTAGTAACTGAATAGGATAAATAGGGTACTAATGATTGGTAACTTAACTGTGTATGGCAAGTGGTTTTTCATAGTTTGTAGCACCTCGGACTTAGCTGTCTCAGTAAGATATTAATAAGTACAGAATGTGTCTTGCCGAATCATCTTTGAAACGACTACTTCTTTTGAAGACCATCTCTCAATGTATCGAAGTTTGCAGAATTTGTCTTGACAGAAAAATGTGAAAATTCACACTCTGCCGACAAAAAGGATGAGAGAAAGTTCGTAACAATTTATCTATACATTATTATTCTATTCTTTCGAATATCTCTTTGAATTCATTTCACTTACACAGTTGATATGACGGCAAACTATGCTAATGGTCTAAGACAAACACACTGACGAATGGGCAATGTATGTGAGAGGTTCAAATTACAAATTTTATACTTCGAATAACAAATTTATATTACAACGGCAGCTAGTGCCTTTTAATGTTTGCTCGTATTCGAAATACAGCAGAAATGATGAATTTGAGCAGGACGGTCTCGGTTCAATTCAATTTGATTTGATCTGATTCAGCTGAATAACATCGAATCGAATTGTCGAAAATTTTACTGAGTTTTCGGTCTCTGATAAACACAGATTCTTCATTAAAAATCAATTTTGAAAGAAAAAGTCCCTTTTTGGAGCATTTGAGATCGCCACTGTACTTTGAAACACTGCTTTCACTTCACTTAAAACTTGAGTGCACCCAATTCTATATTACATTCTATGCCAAACCTAAAACTCTCTAATTTGTTTATACAAATGTTCTACGATAATGCATAGGAAGAAACACTACAACTACAATTCCAAACATAACTACAACTGCAATGCCAACCACAAATATAACTACAACCACTGCTCAGCAACTAGGTAAACATTGAATTAAAGCTTTTTGATCTTGGCAAATGCCAATTTTTACTCAAGTATATATGGTTGGCTTTTTTGCAATATTATTCTGTAGCTAGCTGTAGATAAATTGATAAGATCAGCGATCTTAAATTATGAGTACTGCAATCTTTTATCATAAAAACAATCAAGTAATATTAAACCGCATATTGGGTATGGGTGGGTGAAAAAAAGGAACAACATCCATACCCCATACGCTGACAGAGACTATATAACTTGGTCGCTCTTATTACCTGAGAGTTGTACAATAGTAAAAAACATTTTTTGAATTGTTTTTTCCTGCTAAGTATCTATGATCTGATATATTTCGAACAAACAAATGTCAAAATAATTCAGTTCATGCATAATTTCTGAAGATTGCGGCTGACGTCCTTTTACACTTTTTGTTCTTGCAAAAGTCTATTTTACAAAAAAATTTCAATTTGCAAATTATTTTCGAATACAGAATCAAGAACGGGTTTAAAAAAAATTACCAGAGCTAATGTCGTTAGAGCTTTTGATGCACTACACTTTGATGAATTTTTTATTAGAAATTAATCCATGTAGGTCAAAATAATTGAGAAATAGAAACTGTTCAAGTCACAAAACCGTTGCAAGAATTCTTTTAAAGATGTTTGGTTTTTGACTTTTCCTCCTTCTTAAATTCATTCTGAAAAAACATGTCTGATACAAAACGTGTAGCTCAGACATTACTCTTTCTTACAAAAAAAAATTCGTTGGTTCAGAAGTTGGCAATATGGTCTGACATAGTGTGACATTTTTCCGAAGACCTTTGCACCGCTTATTTTATATATAAAAAAAACGTATTAAAACAATAGGCTCTAGAAGAACAACATAATTCTTTAAAAAATAACTTCTAATGTGCATGTGATTTTGCAGATAAATATGCAGAACAAAAGGACAATGAAAAAGAATAAAGAAATTTCAGTTGTGTAGTTTTAACTTCTGATATTCTTATTTTTGTAAAATACATGTAGAAATATGAACTTTTATTCGTGTTCTCAGTCCATGAAGAACATTTCGAGTTCATTTGAACTTTAAAAAACGTAGTATAGTGAATAATTGAATGTTCTTTAATGAATATTTTTCTTTTTTAATTCTTTTATTTCTGCTATTCATGACTCTCTCTCTCTTGCTCTGTCTATTAGTTGATAAAAGAATGTGAGACTACAATGTTTTCAATACATATATATATGCATACTCATAATTATATCTTTCATGAGACTAAAAAGATTCATCATTTGTAACAGAGAGTGACTATCATGATCTATTTCTCTTTCCAACGATAAAAAAAAGAACTTTATTTATTTGTATTAATGATTTATTAATTACGCACGATGACCTACATTTCAACAGATTCACCTTGTCTCTGAAGATATTTCAACTCTCTGCTAAAATCTTTTCTGAACTCCATGCACTGATTCAAATATAAGATCAAAGATAGTTGGAAAAAAAAACATATATCAGCAATAATTTTACGATAAATTAAGTAATAAAGAAAACCAAAAAGGAAACAAAAAAAATAATTTTTTGATAGTCTCACCTTTTCGAGAAAAAAAAAACAAAGAAAACATCTACACACAGAAGAGAAACACTTGGAACAATGTTGATTTTGGGAAAATTTAAATGAACTCGTCACTTTTTTTCTCTCTTACTTAATCATTTTATCCTCTTGTCTCACTGTGGCTGGAGGCAATGGAAGAGGCAATGCAATCAGTCAACTTTCTTATCCATTCGGTTTGTGTGTTGATGATGATGAAAGTATCTATGTTGCTGATCTATCGAATCACTGTATTGTCGAATGGAAATGGGGTACAACGAAAGGCCAAGTAGCTGCCGGTGGAAATGGACAAGGAAGTGGGGCTCATCAGTTGTCTGGTCCATACGATGTGATTGTCGACAAAGAAAGAGATAGTCTCATCATATGCGATTATTCCAATAGAAGAGTGATTCGACGGCCTCGTCGAAATGGCACAAGTGGAGAAACAATTATCTCCAACATCTATTGTGTGGGTTTGACTATGGACAAAAATGGATCTCTCTATGTCGTTGACTTTGCAAGAAACGAAGTGAGACGATATCGAAGAGGAGAATCTCAAGGAACAGTGGTTGCAGGTGGTAATGGAAGTGGAAATCGTCTCGATCAACTCTCTTACCCCGCATTCGTATTCTTCGATCGAGATCATTCAGTCTACGTGTCAGATTGGGACAATCATCGTGTGATGAAATGGGTGGAAGGTGCAAAAGAAGGTATTGTCGTGGCTGGTGGTCAAGGACATGGAAATGGTCTTGCACAATTGTATAATCCTCGAGGAGTCGTTGTCGATCAATTGGGCACTGTCTATGTGGCTGATCTAGAGAACAATCGAATCATGCGCTGGCTCAAAGGAGCCACACAGGGCAATGTCGTTATTGGTGGAAACGGTGCAGGAGAACAATTGAACCAGCTCAATGGGCCCATCGGTTTATCATTTGATCGATACAGCAATCTCTATGTCGTCGACCCTGGAAACAGTCGTGTTCGACGTTTTTCAATCGAATAGACTGATTGTGGTCATTTTTTTTCTTTCCTTTCTCTCAAATAAATCACGTTGAATTGATGAAGAGCATGGCTTATTCAATTCGGGTGCGATAGGGAACCATCCTAGTGGAACCATGGCGAGCGTTAAGCTCATGCACGCATGGGACACATTCAAATCATCCAAATTAGAGATGTGTCAAAGAGTTTGGAGGGTCCGATGGTGTGGGTGTGGATGTTGTCTTTACTAGTACTTACACGTACACCCACATCCTGACTAGACATTCCAACATTCAGTCATAAACAATTGCACTCTTTGTATTTTCAAAATTTCTCCTCTAATTTTAGCTTGATTGAAACATCAGCCTAGGCAATAAATAATTCAAACAATAGTGAAGCAGAGCAGATGATATGTTACATGTAACCTCCGGCCCGAGAAGAAAGGAAGAGAAAGTGTTTTTCTATTCAGTTTCTCGTTAAAATATGGTGGGTTCCACCGATGGGACTCATCGCCTTGAATGTGTTAAGTAAAATATAGTAAAGCTTTCAGTGAAAATCCGAGGATAAGGGCAGATCTTAGTAGATATTGCCAAATAAACCGATTAAATTCATTTAATGTTAGACGCTTCTTACTGATTGAGATGCATTTTTTTATTAGAATAAAAGTTTCAGGCTTGACTGAAATCATATCATATGCAAGTACAATGAATGTATGATTCAAAAGCCCAAGGCAACTCACTTGATTGAAATAGAGATCACAATAATAAACTGATAAACTTAACAATCATCTTATTGTGCACTCCAGTTCAATTTTTGAAAATAAACTGTTTCATTCTAGTCGAACATGATTGTGCTTTGAAAAGAAAAAAAAAAGAACTTCGTCATTTGTTAGAGTCTATCGACGAATCAGAAATCATGCATTAATGGTGTTTGCTTGTTGGTCTTCATCAGCACAAATAGAACTCGTTGTCGTCCAACATTGATCTTTGTGACAATCGATCCAATCAGCATTTTCAAACAAGGCACAACGTTGCGTCGGGTCAATGCTTTTTCTGAAAGAGAGAAGTCTCAATAAATCATAGCAGAATAAAGAGACAAACTATTTTTTACCGTTTCAATGATGATGAATCTTTTTCAGTAATAGATAACAAGATTAACTCGTTATTCGAACAGAGAACTAGACGATCTTTTGAAACTTGAATATTTGGTGAAAGTTTTTCGATGAAGAGTTTCTCTAAAACTTGACCATCGTTGGCTCGATACATTAATAGTAATGATTCTTTTTGATATATTCCAAATAGATATTTGCCATCTTCTGTAAAACAGAAGACATCACAGAATATTTCACGTTGAATTTGCCCAAGTAATCTATCATTTTTAGCAAAATAAAAAAACCATTTATTATTCATGTGCTCGATAAGAGTTAAATAGTTGCTGTTTGTTTCGTAAAGAGGATGATCAAGAGTCTGAATGATGTGTTCATTTTCAATATCCCATAGATGAGCTCGTTGATTATGATCGTAAAAGACTAAACCAGTTCGTAACGCACAGACTTCTTTTATCTCAATGTTATGATCCAGCAGTATAGGAATGAATTTGATCGTTCTCTTCTGCATATTCCATATGGCTAATATTGAGTGATCATCGGCTAAAATAAATAATTCCATTCGATCAGTTATGATGGTAGTCAATCGAGAACGACAGGCAAAGTTGAGATGGACAACAGGTTGTAACTCGAGTGAATGGTATGTATCAATTTGGAAAAGTTGACTAGTCTGAGCATCAATGATGAAGAAGGACAAACCTAATGAATAAACTTTGACGGAATGATGTCGAAATTCATTTGTTTGATAGAGAAGTTCGGGCGTTGAATTAATTGAATAAATGAAGAGAATATTATCAGAGTTGAGTAGAAGTAAATAGGATGTGATAGTGGCTGATTGTGTAATAGAAAAAGACAGTCGTAGTTGCATGACAAGAGATAATCGATCGACAAAGGTGAAAAGATTTAAAATGCTGTAAAACATTAGTTTATTTGACACTTAAATTCATTGAGACTACTCACCATTTTGTTTTGTCTAATGCAATAACATAATTTCCTTGAATTTCGAAATGACCAATCGAAATTTTGAATAGGAAACTTTTCGAATCTATGATTGTTTTTTCAGGCAAATACGTCATCATTGTTGTTTTATACCTACGTAATTCTCCGTTCTCTAATATGCAACAGACGATGAAACCCCATTCTGAGTCTTTAACAAAGAATACATCTAGAGGAAAAACTTGGTTGACACAGCAAAAACTTACCTATCTGACATGTCCAATGAGAAACTCTTTCGTCGAGTTGTAGACGAACGAGTAAACGATACTTATGAGCATGCTCATGAAGTTTCCATTCGTACACATCAATTTTCGATTCATTTCGATTGAGACAACAAATAAAGTTTCGTTTTGCTTGATATCTTGTATATATATCATGATATTCACCGACAATAATGAAATAATTACCACATGAATGAAAAATAACCACAGAATCCATAGTAAGCCATATCAATGCACTTTGATGCCGGTCGGTGAAGAAACTGTAACTATAAATGACACGACTTAGTATAGGTAAATTGTCGATTTTTTTGACACGATCATTTTCGACACGTTCGAAATAGTAGAGATAAATATGTGATTGACCTTCACAATAATAAACATCAGTTTCGAAATTAAGAAATATATTTTGTTTATCTAGTTTCTTATTTAATGTTGCAACAAGTTGAAATCGGATTTTTCCTTGAACATTTGTAATGATTAAATAATGGGTTAAGCCAGTTTCAAGTGTCACTCGAATTGCTGCACTCATGTGCCGTTCAATGGTTGCACATTCTATAATAGGAGCGTCAAAGAAATATTGTTCAATCAATGTCTTATCTGAACAATGCCATATATCAATCGATTGATTATCTCTCGAACAGACAAATAATCCTTCCTTGTGAATAAAATCGACATGTATTATATGGTTATAATTTAAATGAAGTCCAAAATGATGATCGAATTTTTGAAAGACTAAAATTGATTGTGATGAATAGAAACAAACATCAGTCGAACCAAACTTGACCGAAGTGAACTTATTTGAAGGTAATTTATATTCAAATTTTTTTCCAGTCCAATCTTGTGCATAAAATCGAAATATTATGAAGCTTTCTGGACGAAATACATAAAAAGTACTATATGCCCCACAGATGGCATGAACAACACCTATTTGGTACTTGCTCATAGTTGTAGTGATTGTTCGTGTATCACTTTCTAACATTCGAAGCATACAATTACTTAGACATTGTTGAAATAGATTGTAGATAAATTTAGGAAGTATGTCGATAAAAGATGCTAAACGAGAAATAATTTCGAAGGCAAAATTATCTGGATATTTGTCTAGAATAACAGAACAATTCGTGTATTGTGTAAGAAGAAATCGAGTTTCAGGAAAAGGAGAATCGACCAGGAATCGATCGCTCATTTTGTAACAATGAAGAAAACTCCACATAAAATCATAATCATAGAGAAAATATGGTTCAGGCCGATAAATATCCAAATTCAAACACAGTTGATTAATTCGTCGCATATTGAAGATACATTCTTGTTCATTCCTATTCAGAACATAAGATTGTTGTTTTGTTAGGCATCGATCAACATCTAATGCCGTAGTGCCGTTCATTTTTTCGATAAGTTTTTTCGATTCGATTACGAATGGTTGATTGTACAAGTTTGGAAAATTGCCAATAGGACCAGCAAAATAAGCACGTCGAATAGTTTCGATAGGCTTTTCTTGATTTATATTCAGTATTGAATGTTGTTGAAAACTACGATGATAACTATGCACAAAAAAAACTGAATTCAATATAACTTTTAATAGAAAAAAATATATTCTACAATATTTTTCATTCAATCGTCTTACAAGTAGATAATGAGCGTATTATCGATTTCTTTTTCTATGAGATATTGGTGCATATCATTACGAATACGAATCCATAGAGTACCTGGTAATCGGAATATATTTCTTGGAGGAAGATAATGGACAAAAACTGATTGCAAAACTTTATCGTCCGCACTAAGAATATCTTCCAATTCGGACTCACTGAGACCACCCGCTAGCCTCAAATATGTCATCGCTCGTTTGAACAAAATATCTCCATGTTTTTTGGATAATTGATTGTACAAATAGTTGATGGCGTCTCGGGTTGATTGTATTTTTAAAAAATCACGATCAGGTTTGTTATTGAATGAATGCCATGTCTGGGTTATTTGATATACCAAAGAAAGAAATAATGGGGTAGGTTCTGGATCACCTTGTTTTGGACTATATGGCTCGAGTTTTGGTTTCAACCAAGTCATTTGAAGCGGTGAAAGACGTCGGCCATCACGTTCTAACCAAGAACAGACGACTTGCTGTGCTAGATCTCTATCGAATTCCTTAATCTCGATCATGGTACCATTTGGGAAGAGAGATTGAAGTCCATCAAGAATTTTATACTCGACTTTCTGTTCCCCGTTACCTTCAGTAATCATTGGTATTGTAGATAAAATGCATTTAATATTCAGTGGATAATGGATTGGAAGCCATTTTTCACAATTGTAATCTTCGACTCTTAATTGATCGATCGAATCGAAAAGGAGAATAAGTTGTTCACTAATTGGAATTTGCATGAAGAGATTTTGCAATATTTGTTTTAGTTCTTCAATTGTTGTGAAATCTTGGATAAGAGAGGATGGCGTGAGGTGATAGACAGTACATATTTGTTGTATAATCGACATTAATGGTCGACGAATATCACTTGACAATGGTGTTGCACCAAGAAAACGAATGATGACAGAGATTGAATTCGGATTTGGAAACCATTCTAATACCTAAAACCATTCTTTATCAAATAGTACTAATTCAACAAATTGATTTACCTTAATCGCTATTTGAGCCATAATAGATGATTTTCCCGAGCCTGATTTGCCGAATAGAGTGCATGGTTGTGACACATCCGACAAAACAAATGTTTTAACCTATTCAATCGATTAAAAGGTATGGAACAAACAAGAAAAAAAAATACTTTATCGAGAATTTCATCTCTTGAAAAATAGCGTTCATTTAACATTCGACATTGTATAGCATGTTCAAAGATTTCATTGTACAAGACATCTTTTGCTTGAACCTTTGTCATATAATAATCGATTTGTCGTTTAATAACAGTATAAAAATCAATTTGAAATTTAGTTAGATAATCTGTTCGGTTCGAGACATCTTTCCAGTTTACCTACAGAAAAAAACGAAGAAAAGATTGCCTGATGCATTTAATTTGAACGAACTCGATAGTTGAATTGATTTTCAAGTGGAAGTTTCTCTCGAATATTTGATTTTATCTCATTCAATAATATTTCTGTTTCATGATCAGTATCGATGAATTTTGATTTGAATTTAACATCAAATTCATCAATATCTTCAATCACTCGAAAAAAAGCAACCATTCGTTGTGGATCGGTTGTATTATTTTCCAATGCACGAATAATTTCCTTGGCCGTTACTAAAATACTTTGAAATAAAATAGAACAAAGAAAAAAAAATCTTACCGGATATATGAAATTGGTTTCGTTCACTTTGAGTAATTTTATTATTTGCTAAACAAATATCAGAAGCTCGACGTAAAATCACTACTAAATCTTGTTCAATTATTTGCCATTCTTCTCTCTTCTCTGGATCGATTGGTCGAAGAACGTAGACAGGTTCAACAAGATTGTTGTCCAGCACATATACCTCATCAATAAGAGTACTCTCGTCGACATTCAGAATTGATTTGAACATATTCAACATATCTGATCTGATATAAGTGGGTAAAGGTCGCCATCCATACTTGTGACTCAGTAAAACCTAATAATGAATCAAGTCCTTAATATCATTAACTCAATACGGAATGATAATTTACCACACAATTGGTAGCCTGTGAGAGGCGACAACATTGATCTAATTCTTGCAAACATAGGTCGACAGTAGAATGATCATCTGCAGCTTGATCTTGAACGCCCCAACGCATGTCGGAATACTGAAATTATCTGAGTACATATATTATGTCGAAGTTACACATCGGCTGGTGCAGTCATATCGTCAGCCATAATTTTGTCGGAGTTATTTTGGCTCAGCTAAACATTTAATAATCCTTTGATTGCGTGTTTCTTTCGAGCTGCATATTTTAAAGTAGAATTTTCAAATGAACATAACACATATTTATTTAACTATAAACAGAAAAATTAATCAATTATATAGAAAAAATGAAGTTTAAATTATTGTAATTTTAGCATCATTTGTTCAGTTCAGATGAAGGTAAGTTCATTAGAAATCAAATAAGCTCAAATAGTGCTCTATCAAAAACAATATTAGTTTAGAGATTTTTCAAGTCACAAGTCGAGTCAGGTCACATGAAGATCGAAATCAAACTCTTGCAATCCGATCTGACATAGGTGCACCGAAATTGTGCCACAATTCCATCGTCTGGATTCAGGTAGGCACACTCTGTGAGTTTCCTTGGATTTGAATTACTGAAAATACGAGATCCTGGAAATGGTTCATCAACCTCGAAACAAAACTAAATTGATTACACGATATTCATTCTTTGCATGTGTTTCTCATTCTTATGGTTATAGCCATATAGATATATGTGATATTGATCTGAAGATTTTACTTTAGCTATATACTTCGATAGAAGCATTCAATTAATGGATCACTAATCGGTTAGCTAAGCCAAAATAACTTTGGTATGACACAAAACACATTTAGTGCTAGTTAGAGAATAGACCTGAAATTGTATCTTGTATGTTTGTAGACAGTAATCTCGCAATTTTGGATAGACATTTTTCATTAATTCATCGCGTTCTTCTATAGTATCTATAATAGATTGGGAAATCAATGTTTGTTTTCCATGTTCTGATTAAAAAAAAAGATTTACCTGAAAATGTGGAGCTAATAAAGATTCGTACCGAAGTTGGTCTGCGTTCGTGAACGCTGTCGAATCGACCACGAAAAAGTTCGTTGTTTGATGGCATTTGTTTCAACATATCTAAGGAAAAAACCAAATAATACGCCTAGCTTATCATCATATTTTAAAAAATCATACTGTCAATTTTTTTATCATCATTCGAAGTACCCAATTATTTTAGATTGTTTTCATGAATGATGATGAGAATAACAATGAAAACACGTATGATCTGTCAAGTTTCTATTGCACTGAGACAAACATTCACTGTTTTGCATCGATTTTGATAGAAAAACACATGCATGCATTGTTGCCTATTTGACCATCAAAATTGAACAGAGAGTTGTAATTACTTATGCCTACGATTTTTATGAAGTATTCTTTAGGGTGGCTTTTATAGAACAAATCAATACTACGTCTAATTATACTGTATTTTTCAATCAAGTTCGATGGAAAACAACAAATGTAACATGCATCTTTTTTTCTCTAAGTCACAGTCTAGTGGAGGGTGTCGGTTATGGACTTTGATGCATAGTTTTAATCGATTCAGTAAAGCCGGTTTGAACCATCTAGCGTGTCCGGTTCTCATCGGTTTTGACCGGTTGCAAAATATTTTATAAATATGCCATCTTTCTCTGATAAAACTTGTTATAATCCAGATTGTTTCACTTCTTCAATTGAAGTATACTTCATTTTTTAAAGCACAATCATAACTGTATTACTTGAACTAAACTTATCTCACATATGATTTCTTAACGATGAAACTTAGGTTTGGATTGTTCTTCGAAGAGAAAGTTTGGATTTGTCTGTACAGGTTGAGTGAAAAAATTCAAAAATTTGAAGTATTGCAATCAGTTGATAGATAAATGACTCTGGTTTATGTGAAATATATACATATCTCACATAATTATCTTCAAGAAACCATACAGGTATAAACGACTAGAATATGAGATTGCTATAAACCTGAGCGATAAAAGTAAAATGAATGTTTTTTTAAAGTTATTTCCATTAACCAATTAATAATAACTCAAAAAAATCAGTCACTTTTTTGACGTTTTCCATTAGTCTAAAAGGTTTTTTGAGCAGGTCAGATCGGTTAAATGTGAAAATTATTGTAGGTCAAGGAAAAAGTATACTCACATCCAATATCAGTTTTATCACCTGAAAAAACTTTGTCAACTCGCTGGTTTTCTATGGTTTTGAAAATATTTTTTAGACTGGATGGGTCTAGTATTTCTTGATCAGTTATAGCTCGGGTTTGATGATAGGTCTTTGAAAAAAATCATACAATATGTTACCTTTTTTTTTGTATGAAGCCTAAAATCTACATCGTTGTTGTTTAACATTTATGCAATAGGCACTCAATTACCTATACACATATATAGAATGTATACATCAGTTCTCTTTCTATCGTGCAATACGTTGACAATTTGTCTTTCGCTTACGCCGTTACTCCGTATAGAAAAGAAAAAAGAAGGTTTTTTTTGGTGATGAGAATTAAAATAAGTTCGTCATCTGCACACAGAAAGAGAACGTGTCGTCGTTGCGTTAATAGGCGAACGTTGTAAAAGAGACATTCTTATCAAATTTTTTTTTTCATGTTCTGTAAGCAATAAATAAGAGGAGAAAGTGTGAGGTATAGGTGTTGATGAGGGTATGATGTAGTTGTGCTCGTGGACGACTATTGTGTTTTTTATCTATCTTCTCTATTATGTTAATTTAGACATTTATTGGAAATATACAGTAGGGAAAGTAAATACCGAATCTACGAATTTGAAAAAAGATGAATTCTTCAATTGAACTAATAAAATGAGCGACTAACCGAAAGAAAAGTAACAGTTAATAGATAAAATACGTTGTCTTTACGACAGTATGCAATAACATTTTGATACAATATGATGAAAGTTCAATTACAGTCTGTTTGCGGTACGGTTAAAATACGGACTGTGCTATTGCATCCAATATCACGATGCATACGGACTGTTTATGATATGTCATGACACCATTTACAATCATAAGCTAGCCGTTTTTCCATCGTGTACTGATCAAAAAAGACCCATAAACCA